TGTTTATTCGCCACAACAATTGCGACACAATTGTGCCACATGCAGTGACATTTATGTGACCAACTCGAGTGCGAGAGAGATGGATGGTTGGGTTTGGTAGGCGGCTGTAAGAGGGTAAAGGGGGCCAGTGTTGTCTATGAGTTATGGCTCTTCAAGCGGCAACTGCAACCGCTGCATGCAACGTTGACACATTTTACTGGGTGTGTGATAAATGAAGCATGCCAAGAAAAGCCAAGTCCAGGCACGTGACAATTGCCACTGCCTTCGAGTGTTTGCTTTAATAGTTTAGGCCAGAAAATGGCTCAACTTTACGGTTGTAGAAGTATATTTTGATGTTGAGAAATTGTTAACTAAAATTGAGACATTTTTTAGGCTTCTAAGAGGTGGATTATGACAGTAAGTCCATGATGTTTAGGATTAGTTTTCCGGCAACAAAAGTGAAATAAACCAGCAAGATTAAAAAGGATTTTTTAAATACCCTCAAAAGAGATGCATTTGTTTATCAACTTGTGCCTTTTTTCCATAAACTCCTAATAAAGCTGCATCCTAAACAAGTAATCTGTAGATGTTTTACCAATATTTAAATAAATCTGATCAAAAGAGGTAAAAGAGGCACCTGTCCCATTCAAATTAAAATCTCTACAGATTTTAGGCTTCAACTTCAGCTAGGCCAAATTGATTTTATTGAAAATTGAACAGGTAAAGGGATATAGAAAAGATACTAGTTTACCACCACCTATTCGGCAGTTAAAATCCAGCAGGAAGAAATCTCTTTTCGGCTGGCAAACTCCTTGCCAATTGAACAATAAAGTCATAATACTCTTTTCGTGTTCTTCATGGGGGAAAGCGCTGGGAAAGGCTGTGTGAGAGCCCGGCTAAATGAAATAAAATGCAATAAAATAACAACTTAACACCTTTGGCGCAAAATAGACAGAGCGAGCATAAAAGGGAACTGCCATCGGAAGACCCTGAAACAGCAAGCCGCCACCCACCGAAACCACCCACCAATGCCAACTATATCCATACAATTCACAAACACACACACATACACGTGCGCAGGAAATGCAAAAAGCAAACCGTAAGCGCAGACTAAGCCGATTATAGCACGAAAGTAACGGCAATGATGGGCGGCATGGGAGTTGGAGGATATGCACGGAGAGAAGCTGCTATTAACTTATATAAAAAAGTAAAACTAAAGAAAGAAACTTATATTTTCGCAGAATATGACTTAAGTTAAAGATAATTATTTTACTTTTTTTACTTATTTATTTTTAAACCTTTAAAAATAATAAAATTTAGTTAAAATATTAATGAAAAAAGAATTAAGGTAAACTTTTCTCGCAGCGTATAATGAGAAGTGTGGGAGTCACTTGGCAGGAAGTGCGTGGCGGGCAGAAAGAGAGGCGGAGAGAGATAGAGAAAGGAGACACAGATATAGACAAGGACGGACAAGGAGTCAGGCAGGCAATGAATTATCGCACTAGCTGCGCCAGCAGTCGAGACAAAAGTGTTGTAAAAAATGTAGTACTATTAATTTTCTTTGCATATCTTATTGTATCTTCATAAACAGACACGCACACAAGCAAGGTCTTTGGGAAAATGCGGGGGAGAAGGCAAAATGATGTTTATGGGGGGGAGGAGTAAGAAGTAACAGCCCTCAGGAAAACTGGCTTAGTGCTAAGAGATTTCTAATTCAGTTGAGCAGAAATAAATTACTTACCGTAATTGTTTGCCATATAAAACTGTAGCAAAATACCACTGAGATCTCTGGAGTTGCTTTCTGCTTCTCTTTCTCTCCCTTTGCTAGACTATTCTATAAAAGGATTTTAACAGCAAGGCCTGATGCTTAAAAAGGGAAAAATCTTAAATATATATCTGCCTGGGAAGGACTCCCTTTGAGAAACTTTAATAATTTTTGCAAAATTTATATTCACTTGTTTACTTTTAATTTATCTACCGCACACTTATAGTTGACACGAGTGCAAATTAATGCCCTTTCATTTTGTGCTTTATGTGAGCATAAATAATTGTGCAAAGGCAGGCACAAAATTGCGTCGATTACAATTTTTAATTATTTTTTAATGAACTACAAACGGTACAAAAAAAATATTTACAAAAAAAAAAATGGGATGCGAAGTATGAAAAAACCTGTCCTTTACATTATAAATTTATGCATGTTTAAAGTGAATTTATTGCATGTTTAATTGTGGATAATGTGTCAGACGCAGGCGGCCAGAAGCCACCGGCCACCATCGGAAATCCCTTTCATTCTCTCTACCCTCCGTTTGGGTAATGAAAATTTTCACTTTTATGATCTCAGCGCTGGGTAGTTCCTGCTGGGCAGTAATAAAATCATGAAGGTTCTGGCTGGCTTGAGTTGGATTAATGTCGGATTGTCCGCTTATCGGGGGGATCTTGGCCAGTTCTTTATCACTCATTTAAGAACTGACGATATTTTAGTTAATTAAATTTATTTTATTTCTTTTCAGTTTGCTTTTAAGACTACTCTATTGGAGTGTTGAAGGGTCGAGCTCAGCTTAGCTCAGCTTTTAAAAGCTATTCCATGTGTTAAACTTTTACAAAATTGGTGGCAAAAAAAATCATTTTCTTAGGTATTAGATAGCCCAATGGGTCTCATAACTAAATGCTTAACTATTTCAGACAGCTCGGTACCTCATTTAACCCTCCGGACTACTTACTTCCTGATTTCAGAAAGTACATTTTTTTTTGGCAAATTTAACTTTTGTAAAACAACTTTTGGGTTGTATACTTGGTTCATTATTAGTTTTTTTAGTAAAAAATAAAGTTTCTTGTTAGAAATTCGAAACTAAAATGTGGACATTTATCGCTCTAAGCTAATTAAACGACTGCTTTATGCAGCTAACCAAGGGAACTAACGACCCCTATCACTTTCCAACATACTTGTAAAAATTCAATTTTTGGCAAATTTTCGAATTTCATATAATTCATTTCATCATTTATTAATTTTTCATCAATTTTAGCGAAAATCGATCAAAATTTGGCATTTTAAGGTGTGAATGCAAATCGATTGGAAATTTAATTACGAGTTCAACGAGGTATGACCTTCCGTATTCGGATCATTTTTGGCTTTGCTATAAGAAAAATACGGATTCTTAGGTCGCAAAATCAGGTTGGACCAAATCTCGCATTTTTGATAAGGTGAAAATGGTGGTCATTAATGGTGAAAATTTTACATTTCAAGATGTGAATGCAAATCGACTAAAAATTTAATTACGAATTAAAAGAGATATGTAAGGGCGTATTCCAAAAAATTTTAGGTTTAATAATAGGAAGAATATCCATTTGTAGGTCATGAAATCGGCGAGGAGCTAATTATGCATTTTTTTAAAATGGGCAACATCATCCTTCTCTGAAAAAATTATAAAAAATATTTATAATAATAATAACTACATCCAATAAGTAGCCTTTGGCCATCAAAAGCTGATTCGATCACCTTGCATGCCCCCATTTTTGGTACCACTGCACTCCCAACATTGAGCGGTCCTTACGCCAGTTACGTGCTCGTGTCGGCTCCAAAAATCACGCATTAGCTGCCACTTTGCACTTAAAGTCATAAATTTATTTAAATATATGGCAAAGGCCCAGAGACGTACATAAAGTATATACATATATAAACGGCCGAGCCGCACACGTTCGCCCGAGCGTCGTTGTAAAGCAAAATTTATATTAACTTCATTTGGCTGGGGAGGTGGTGCGATGCTGCTGCCTGCCTGCTCCATGCAGTCGCTGCATAACTCATACGCACCGTGTGCTTGGGAACCGTGTGAGCCAGTCAGTCAGGCAGTCGCAATGCGTGGAAAACTGGCTGCAACGGCGGCGGCGGCACTCCAACCAACCAGCCATATCACCGACACAAAAGCGAAGAAAGGGTCTCGAAAAATGGCAGCCAAGAGAATTTTAAATTACGCTTTTGAGTGTCGACCGAGGCTGAGGCCGAAATGCAACTGCAACTGCAGCTGCAACTGCATCTGCTGCGTGCATTTAATTGCAAATGAAGCAAAAGGCGAGAGCCGAGCAGCCAAAGCGCTGACAATGCCAATTGCCAGCTTCAACTTCAGCCCTTTTTTCACCACTTTCCCTGCCCAACCTACCCAACGGCTGGAGCCACATGCAACGGCAAACTGCAAATGACGTTTAATCAAAGTTGTTGAAATTGATAGCATTGTTTGTAGTGCACGCGCGCGCCAAATGGCAAAATGCATTTTAAATTGCGCTAAATGTGTTAGTTAAAGTTACCCTCCCTTCTCCAACTTCTCCTACAAGCCAGACACGAGTTTGCTTTTCCATCTCATTGGCCGTGATTATTGTGGAGGGCCAAGAAGAAAATCCCACAAAATAAGTAAGCTGGCAAGTAGGATACATGTAATGGCAAACATTCATAGATAAAAATGCAACAGATTTGAATTAGAAAAGTGGGAAAACGAAACACAGAGAGAGTCGCGGGAAAATTGCAACTTAGTTGCTGTGGCAGGCAATAAAATAAAGTCTTAGTCCTGGCTGAATCTGGGGGCACTTTTAATTTGTTGTGCAACAAATTAGCATTTATTTTCATTACGATTCCAAGTTGCCGGGTGTCTGGTCTGTCTACTTGCCCCCGTTGCTCCACCACGTTTTCGCATTAATTTTTTTGTCAGCTCTTATGCGCGTTGTTTGCTTTTAATTATAAATACACGTAAGCTTAGCATTTTTAACCCATGGTTGCATATTATTTTTATACTCTATATATATTAATATAAAAGATACATTCTTGATACTTATTTGTATTTAAATTATAGTTTTAAAGGACATTTTTTGTAACTTTAAAAACAAAAAAGCTTAGGAATGTTGACTTAATGCTCTGCTAAAAAATCCTTTCAAATCTCTTCACCCATCCAAAACCAACCCCATTTTGCTGCCATGGGTTAATGGAGCAAAATCCCCATCCGTGCAACATAGAAATGTGCGCGGGATTCTTGCATTCAATTAATGCGTGTGCGAGTATAGAAAGCATCGCCGCGACGCCGCTGCTGACCATCCTCATCCTCGTCGCCACCACCCCAGTCATCATCATCTCTATCCCGATTCCGATCCCGATCCCTATACCCACCGCCATTCCTAGAGCCATAACCATGACCATCGTCATCATCACCTTGCCGGCGCTGGGCATTATCCAAGTAAGAGCTCACGCCCGACTGAGCGCCCAACGAAGCTGAAGACCACGGTGCGGATGAGTAACGCTGCCTGCCATAAGACCAAGGATGCCGACGGGAGTTTGTACCAGCATACGGGTTGTAGTGGTGCTGATAGTAATCGGAACCCGATTCAAAGTTGGGCCGTGACTGAGAGTGGTAGTCGTCGATGTGTGTGCGATTAGGATAGAAATCATGACTAAAGGTCTGAGGTGATGGTGGTGGTGGTGGTCTACGCTGCCCGTAATTATCATCATCATTATCATTATCATCATGGGGCCTTTGATAATCATGGGGTTTTTGCTGAGGGTTCGAGTGGTGGTGCTGATGGGGTTTATTAGCCACCTCATGTCCAACGCTATAGGGCGATTGCAGTACTACCGTGGGCATAACAATGGTTGGCGGCACACTGGGCACCGCGGCCGGAACTAAAGCCGGCTGATTCCAAGATGATGCCGATTCGGTGGCCGTTGTCGAGGTCTGTTCGCGTGAATTCATCTCGGATAATTTGTTGTTACGATTGCGAGTACCAGTGGCCGTGAGCACCATTACCGTGGGATTCATATCTTTCATATGATCCTTTAGGCAATTTTGCAGCATATTTATGAAAAAGAAGAACGAGAGCAGCGTTAATGCGTTCATCACTGAGCCGGCGCTTTTCTTCGATTTCTTCGTAGCTTTGGTGGATGGAGGTGGATGTGGTGGTGGTGGTGGTCCAGCTTGTGGGTGGCTATGTGGCGGATATGCGGGACCACTGCCCGCACTGCTTGGATGGTATGAGGAGAAGCTGCCCGAGGGTGGTTCCTGCTGCAACTCGTACTCCAAGGAAGGCTCGATGTTGCTGCAAATTTAAGCTTTGCATTAGGTTTTCGGGCAAGGACTGAGATTGGTGTTTCGGTTTGACTTTGGCGGAAGGTTCACGGAGAGAAAAATGTGTAGAAATAAGAAATTTAAACATCAAAATCCCAAAAAAATATTTCTTCTTCTAAAAGATTGATAAACTCGACTTCCTTCGTATTTACAAATAATTTCAAAGTTAAATACTGCCTTAGTTTTCTCTCCCTGTAGCGATATCCATTTACTTACCCATAGCCAGAGTGTCCGCTGCCATCCGCCGAGGCCGCATAAGCACCGTTGTGGCTACTGCCCGCCGCCGCCAGTAGCGGAGGTCGTCCCAACTGCCCCTGATGCCCCCCCTGGTGTCCTTGATGGTGATGGTTGAGGAAGTAGTTGCCCGGATAGTAGTGGTTGGGATAGTAATGCATGCGCTGCGTTTGACTGCAAGAGAAGATGAGACGTGGAAATGAGTGGCCGAGGCGATGCAACTCCCTTTTTGTGCCCCACATTAACCAGGCTAAGTGCCTGAGGTATCAAGTCCGCGCCCGCTGCGGTGGCTGGGAGTAACTCCTCCTGGTTGGGAGTTACTACCGACACTTGACCAGGCAATCTTTAAGTCAAAGGATACACTTAATCCTGTTGCTTTTAATCAATGGAGCTCTAGTTTTTGAGGTTACTTTAAGGAATTATTAAGTATTTCCCATTAAATCTTCCTTTTTGCATCTAGGAAATCAACTTTAAGTCAAACAATCTTAAAAATTCACTTAGTTTTCTCCTCAATTTCCCGAAATTAAATTTGATTTCAAGATACACAAACGACTGACACTATCTCAATGCCTTTTGGCCATGGCTTACGCATAATTATTTTCCGGAATGGCTAACAGCAGAGGATGCTGTTGCTGGCCGTTGGACATTTTCACCGTCGTCTTTGAGTTCACAATTTAATTGCTAATTGATTTGTGCCAGAAACGCGAATATGTTTATCACTTCACCGTGCAACGTGGCGGTGCCTCATTGTTGCTGAGTGCTTAACCTGCCATAAACCGAATGGCAACTCGACGGCAGAAGCCACAGGAACAGGAGGACGAGGAGCAGCTGTGGAACAGCACGAGATGGAGCACCCAACCAACCGCAAGTGACAATGTCGTTTAGGCAACTGGGCAAAGCCTTTGCCAGACACTTGGCTGGCAGGCGGCTATTAACGCAGGTGAACTTAAAATGGGCGGTTGGGCAGGTAGGTCTGGGTTTGGAGACTGTCATTGTCAGCTGCTAAGTGAGTTTGGCTACAACTAGCAACCGGCAACTGCAACGGCCTTTACACTACTACTCGATGGCAGTGATGTGGTAAGTAGTACTCTAAGTTGTGGTACCTAAAGATATAGAGAAGTACCTGCTACGAAGAAGTTAATGGTTAGGTGGGGAAAAAAAGAAATCAACTGGAAATCAACATTGAAATCTATAAAAGAAAGTGTACTTTGAGTATATCCTCACCTCAAGCCAAGCTAAGATGTTTTAAATTGAATCTATTAACTAAAGTAAAGTACCTCGTAATAAGTTAAGTACCCTTACATTCCCATCACTGATCATAACGCGTACCCAACTGCCAGCTGACAATTGCCGGCAAAGTGTTTTGTGGCTACATCGGCCAACTGACACACACCTGAATTGGAGCGTTGCGTTGCGTTGTGTTGCATGCATGCGTTGCACATTTCGGCCAGGCCAGACAATTAGTGCACGACAAAAGGTTGTGAATGCTCCTTGGCATATACCCCATACACCGCCCCGCCCCCCTTTCACCATGATTCCTGTCAGTGTTAATGACGCTGCAGCAGTCGCTTGTTTATTGCATTAAAAGCTCTATGGATGCAGCGTTATGCATCAGAAATTGTCATAATTGTGCCATGTCTGGCCCTGACTTTGCCACTGTCTGCTGTGCCACTGTGCAGCCCAAATGGAGCTCGGTTCTTGTGGTCCCTTGTGTGGTTAGTCGAACCAGGCTTTTGGCCAGCCCGGGTCTACCCCCATACCCTTCACTTACCCATCCCCTCCCCCTGCCATTCGTCTTATCTTTATTTGGTCTTGAAGATTTATGACTGGGGCTAATAGTTTTCATTTTCAGAAAATATTTTTATATTCCATTGGGTTTTGGTGGGTATATTAGTGAGTCAAGGAAAGGGAAGTTTAATTTTTTGAGTTAATAATATTTTTGTTGGAAAGGGAAGTTTGCTGTAATATGGATATTTTATGAGAACTTTGTCTGCTTAATCAAAAAATTCTAAAAAATCGCTAAATATTTCTGTAATTTTGTAATTTTTATAGATTTAATGTAAAAACAAAATATCAAGACTATAAAAAATACATTTTTATCCTTCCTCATTGAGATTTTATATAAATATTTAACTATATTTATTATAACAAAATCGAAACCATATGAAAAAGTGTACAACAAATTCCATAAGCAACCACAGGATCTCCCAAGTCTTTCTCTGTTGTCTTTCCCAAAACCGGAAACATTAGACTGCAATAACAAATATTTAACATTTCCGCAGTGCTAGCAACAAGAAGAACAACAACCTAAAACCAAAAAAAAACAGCATCAGCTAGATTTTCGAGAATCAAAAGCATATAATAAATTGCACTGCAACTTTTCCACACATTTCCAGCTTTGTAACGCTTTGATTTGTCGCGCTCCCCCAACCAATTTTCCTCCAGGAAATGTTAGAGCGAAAAAAACTAAAGGACATTTGCTGATGCTTCCAAAAAGAGGAAAAAGAAAGCATATCAAAAAGTCAAATGCCTTGAGGGGTTGAATAATTTGAGAACATAAATGGGGGGCTGTGTTTTCTTCTTTTCCTCTTTGTGGAAAGGGTGTTTATATTTAGCTTTTGTTACTGGCGCCATTGTCAACATATTTCAGGACCTCCCAAGAACGAGACTTAGACTTAGAGTCAATAACAAGTTGACTTGGACATATTGTAGTTTTGCTAGTAGGCAGCAAATTAGCCCCACCGAATATTTTTATAAGATTTTATGGCCAACGAAATTGGTCCAGCAAAAATTTAATGACTGGAAAATGAGGCATTTAAGCCAAGTGCCAACGAAAGTTTTTTCCCTTCGAGTTGTTGAACGTGCCAGATATTTATGGGTCTGCATCTGTATCTCTGTCTGCGTTCTGTATCTGTTTCTGTGTCTGTGTACTGTCCTGGACTGAAGTTTATGCTCGAAGGACAATCGAGGTGGCTGGTGGTGTGGCGAGAGGGATGGTGGACACAAGCGGAGGCATACATTAATTGCCGTGATTAACACGTAGAAGCATTAAATTATATACAAGAGCTGGTAGGTAAGTCATAGTCGGTTTGGAAAATACGCTTTAAGGTGGGTTTCTTAACTAATGGAAGGGTTTTTGAGTCATGGAGTCATTAAAGTTGAAGACTAAGTAGTCATTAACATGTGAAAATGGATCTACAGGTCATGTTCTTTGTAAGTTTAAAATCTCTAGATAATTCCCTAAACGGAACTTGTTCAAGTTGTTATATCAGAAACATTCTGGCTTAAGTTAGACAGACACTTTCAGTCAATTAACATGAAAACGTAATGTGAATTCATGGTCATTCTTCTCTCTGAAATCAAAGTACCCACAGCATGGACATCAAAAGAAGGCCTAGACATAGCTACATCAATTATATGCCAAATGCTCTGGCAGTGCATGTGCGTAGAGCCCCAACCCGAAATGGTGTCTGGGCAAGTGCATAAATCATTTGGCTACATTAGATCCCTGGAAAACCCCCCCGAAGAAGCAGGCAGTGCTAAATAAACTTTTTCGGTGGTCTGAGGAACAAAAATAAAAACTCGTTAGGCAGGAGTTGAAGACGAAGAAGCTGGAAGAAGAGTACGTGCCTGGACTTTGACTTGGACTAGGACTAACAGAAGGACTAACAGAAGGAGTACCAGCCGGTCGACACAGGAACACAGTGTCAAGTGTAAAGAAGAACTACTAATCAGCAGTTAATTCTTATCTTTAATTAAGTGCACGTTCCACCTACCCCTAACTCCCCGTTTGACAGGCCAAAGTCCTTCGGCGTTTATGGCAGAAGAGTCCTGGGAGTCTGTCCAAAAACTTTTTTGCTTTCCGCCAACACTTTTGTTTGTCCGCCCGCGCTCTCGGCATTGTCCTGGACAAAGGCCAGCTATCCTGTTAGCCAGTCAGCCAGCTAGCTTTGTCCTTTGCCCATCTCTGGTCAATTTAATGAAATAATCTAAGCAAACACTGCTGAAAATTAAGCAGTTTTTTTGTTCTCAGTTTTCTCTCTCAAATTAAAAATGTAATGCGTTCGCCTTTGTTTTGTTGCCGGGCGAATAATTAAATGTGCGAAAGGCTAAGAAGAAGTTGCTGCAACATTAACCCAACATCCGGCTGGCCAATTAAAAAGGCCACGCAACAATGGCCCAGGCGCTCATGCATGGCTTATAGACCCTTATACCCTTCTATATATATTCTCAACTCAAACCCTTTTCCAAAATCCCCGATTAACTAAGACGCTGGGATCAGGCTGATATATATCTGGTGGTTGTCTATAAGTCATTACCCCTTCGTTGAGAGAGAAGAACGAACGCCCCCCCACAGGTAAGAGCCCAAGGTAGCCCAAGTTGTTGCCGCTTTCAAGTTGTTTGACAAACAATACATGGCCAGGGGATTCTCTTCATTTTTTTTTTTTTTTTTTGTTTTTTTGGCCAACAAGAAAGACGGTTTAAGGGCTAAAAAACACGGGGAACGAGAGTCGCACTCAAGCGTGCCCGTCACATTTTTGCGCTTTTACATTCCCTTCCCCCCGAAAAAAATATATAAAAAAGTTTACAGAGAGGGGAGCATCATCATCAGATACATGAAAAACATTTTTTCAGCAGTGAAAAGCTGCACTAAAAATAAAATAAAAGATATTTTATTGAAGTGGCAAAGTGAGGGGGAAGGTGCCCCAACTCATGCCATTTCGCTCACAGATTAATTATGCATCGCTAAAATGCTAAGCCAGGTAGCACCAAAGCACCGTGGCATCAGCACATCGCAGTGGCCCAAAGGCAAATGGCAACTGGGAATGGGGTGTGGGGTGTGGGTGTTGGATTTCCCGGTGGGTCGGCGTGCAAGGGGAGTATGTAAAAGCCAAGTACAAGCCACAACAAAATTAAAATCCAAATAAAATCACAAAAAATGGTTTTGGGCAAATACGGCAGTGACACGGAAATGATGACATTTAACACGCTTTTCTTTATACACTTACTAAATGTTAAAGGGTTTCAAATTTAGATAATCAAAATGAGAAAAATCTTTTGAGAGAGTGGAATAATCTTAATGTTTTCCATTGAAAAGCAAAACAAAACGTTGAAGTGGATCCAGCAGTATTTATTCAAAATCCACTATGATAATCTAATCCATTCCTTGCCTAAAATGAAAAAAATCGATTTAACCTACTAGATTATTCCCTATCATTAATCATGAACTTTTATAAAGATTAAGATTAGAAATTCATAAAAGAATTGGCAATCAAGATTTTTAAAGGTGTTTATTATAAATTATTAAAGATTGTTTAACATTATTCAATATCTAATATTAGTTAGTTAATAAGAAACGCAAAATAAGGCTGAAAATATAATTCTTAAACCCGATTCATTAGTATTTTAATCTATATAATATAAACTTATATAATAATTTAGCACAGAAAATACTTACTTATCTTTTAAAACTACTTCATATTTAACTTAACTTAAGCGTAAATCAAAATTAAGCTTACAAAATTCTTAACTGATCTTTGATTAACTTTTCAATCTAGTTTTTCTCATAACAACCCCACCAAACCTTTCAATCATTTCAAATAAATTACACACCCCAAATTGATAATCCAAAATATTGAGCTATCAA